TTGAGATATTTAAAGTTGAGCATAATAATAATAATAAGTTTCAATTAAGAATGTGGTTACACATTTTTTTTTTAAACACTTAAAAGAAATCTAAGGATGCAGTTATGCACCTTGGACAAATTATTTTAATGGTCAAATTTATTAAATTTAAACTAACATTTGTAAACTGAGAATATTAGGTGATGCACTTGAGAGGGGAAGAGAGTTATGTCTCTAAATGTCAAGACCGAGAATGCAGTTATGCATCCGATTTAAGACTAATAAAAATTCAACAATTAAAAAATAAGCAAACCATGGCATATACACAAATTATCCAAAAATATATCAAGTAAAGTACAAGTCAATAAAAATGATCGTGCTAAAACCACGGGACTCGAGGGATGCCTAATACCTTCCCCTCGGTCAACAGAATTCCTAACCCGAATTTCTGGTTCGCAGACCAAAACTAAAGAGTCATTTCCTTTTGATTAGAGATTAAACAAAAAGTGACTTGGAACACCATAACTCAATTATAAGTGGCGACTCTGAAACAAAATAAAATAATCTCTAAATCAATACCATCACTTAAATTGGAAAAACCCTGCCGCCGTGCGCGAAAAGGGATGTGACACAGTGAAGAGAATGAAGTATTTATAGGGGGAAAATTAGGGTTCCAAATTGTGGGGAAACGAACCAGAATTTCGAATAAACAGGGGCCATTCGAATTCAAATCCAAAAATCTTTTCACCATTTTGGGACGACACCTTTTTTCTTGCGATTTCAACCCATTTCCAAAGAGGAAAGGGGAGAAAACGTGTGTCTACTGCAATTCGTACAAGCTGAAAGGGATGGGAAGGAGAAAACAAAATTTTCAGAGTACTATTTTCCGCTTGGTCGCTGCTCTATCTGTGAACGTTGGAGCTGGAGTTTGTCGCTTCTGGGGAAGCTGGTTTTCACGCTGGGTTATTTTGTGAAGGGGAAAAGGATTTAGGCCGGGTTAAAAGGGGAATTAGGTCAATTTGGAGGTTAGAGAGTTGGCTGGGATTGGATAATTGAAGAGGGAATTGAAGTGGGCTGCTGGGTCACATACGTACTGGTTTGTTTTGCTGTTGTATGTTGCTGCTGGAATGGGTTTCTTTTGGTTGAAATTGGAGAAAATAATTGGGCCTGAGAGTTATGAAGTGGGCCATTGAAAATTTGGATTCAGAATTGGGTAGAAAAAGTTAAAAGTGAAATGGGAGTGGCCAGATTTGCAATTGCAAAATTGCTAAATTGTAATTATAGCCATATAAAACTCAAAATATAGTCGAATGAGTTAATTTAGTGAATCCGGTTAGAAATTGAATAAGACAAATTAATATAATTAACTAACGAGCTTCTTAATCTTAACAAAATAAAATAATTAACTTAATTATAAACTAATTAACTCAAAATATAAACTATTAATTAATTAAACTAATTGACCAAATATTCAAACAAAACTAACTCTTTTTTTTTAGACAATTTTCGAACATTCATAAAATGTACTAATTATATAAAAATGACAAAATTACTTTAAAATAATTTTAAAATATTTTGAATATTTAAAGTCGATTATTTTAGATCGTTTAGAATTTAAGAAGCTAGATGATTAATATATATTGTGGAGCTCCAAAACTGGGTGTCAACACTTGTTTATGTAGATGACTTAATTATCACAGGGTCTGATCTACAAGAAATCAATAGAGCTAAGCTTGATTTGCATAAAAATTTCAAGATGAAGGACCTAGGAGAGCTGAGGTATTTCTTGGGAATTGAACTTGCCAGGTCGAGTGAGGGAATTCTATTATCACAAAGGAAATATGCTCTAGAAATGATCTCAGAGACTGGTTTGAGTGGTTCAAAACCTAAGTGGACACCAATGAAGCAGAACATGAAACTAACCAGCAATGAGTATGATCTTGAATTCTCTACAAAATCTAAGGATGATCTTTTAGAAGACATGAGTATCTATCAGAGGCTGGTGGGTAAGCTCTTGTATCTCATAATCACAAGGCATGATATATCATATGATGTTCAGTCCTTAAGTCAGTTTATGCATGCTCCTAAAATGTCTCATTATGAGGCTGCTTTACATGTAGTGAAGTATGTCAAGAGTCAGTTTGGGCTTGGTCTCTTGATGTCTAGTAAAGGGAATGAGAAGATAGAAGCATATTGTGACTCTGGGCCTCTTGTCCTATGTCTAGAAGGTCTGTCTTTGGTTTTTGTATCAAATTGGGAACATCTCTCATCTCTTGGAAAGCTAAGAAGCAAAACACTATATCTAGAAGCTCTGCTGAGGCAGAGTGCATGTGCATAGCTCAAACAGTTGCTGAGTTGACTTGGTTACAAGGTCTGTTACAAGAGTTGCAGGTGAAGGTGCAATTGCCAATTAATCTATATTGTGATAATAAAGTTGCATTAGAAATAGCAGCCAATCCCATGTATCATGAAAGAACAAAACACATTGAGATTGACTGCCATTTTATAAGGGAAAAATTACAGGAAGGATTGGTAAGAACTAACTATGTTGCAAGCAAGGAACAACCAGTAGATGTGTTTACCAAAGCTTTGGGTCATCAACAACATGTTGCATTACTGGTCAAGTTAGGAATGAAAAACATTTTTCATTCTCAACTTGAGGGGGAGTGTAGAAATGAGTGAATAGTTAGTTGATAACAATGTATAGATTAGTTAAGAAGTTTGTTATTAAGCTTCCAATTAGAAGTTGACATGTGGATGGTTAGTAACTAACTTTGACATGCTTTTGTAAATATACTGTGTATATAAAGATCCTTGATTAGAAGGATCAGTTTTAGAGTTGTGATAACAAAAATCTCAACACAGTACTATTGTTTTCTGTTAGCTTTCTTCCTTCTCTTCTACAGAGCTCATCAATGGTGGCCTGAGTGCAGATTTTGTCACATATCAACTTAGGTTGTTGATTAGTTTCTCCATTTGGTTTGAGTTCATTTGCTAGTAACAAATAAAATAGTTTAAGCTTACATAATTAGTCACATATTAGCTTGAAATATTTGCATAAATCTGGATAATATATATTGCTATCTGTTTAATACCCCTTAGTTGATTGGATTTGTTATTTATATTATAACATTGAATAATTATCAAATTTTATAGTTAAGTTGATATGAGTTGTGAAGTCTTTCATTGATCCGAGTTCAATTTGGACTCCATCCTTGCATATGTTTGAGTTGTTTTTGAGAGTTGAAAGCTAAAATATAGGGAAAGAGAAGCAATTATATATAGGCTAAAAGCCTGAAAACGCAGCAGCATGACAAAGAATGGGATATTTTCTTTGTGTTGGTTTACTTTAATAAATTTCATTTTCATCAAAATGTTGTGTTCATTTATTTAATTAATAATCAAGTATCTTTAATTAAGTTAAATCCATTTTCTTGTTCTACTTAATCACATTTTGCTCATTTTTAAATCGTTTTAAGTTAAGGTATTTTTTCTCAAACACAGTTTAGCAAATGTTATTTTTTACTTGGTCATTTTCTCAAAAAAAAAAAAAAAGTTAGTCAAATATTTTTAGTCAAGTTGCCGGATAACCGCGGGTTAGCGACTATTTTAAATGTTAATACCTTCTTAAAGTAGAAATAAGAACCTCTTATTCATTTTCTCTAAATTTTTAAAGATTTATCTGTTAAGACCTTTTAAAATTAAGTTTTCTTAATTTCTTTAAAAAATTAAGTGGTGACTTTTTTTCTAAATTGTTTTATACTTAGACCATTTCAAAAAGTTATTTTTCTAAAGATAGTAAAATTACTACAAATAAAAAATAAAGGAGGGAGGTTGTGATAGGTTAAGATCAACTTATGAATAGTCTTATTTGATATATATTCCAATTAGACTTGGAAGAAACCAATTTCTTTGGTAATAATTGTGTTAGGTAATTGTCAAAAGGGAAAAAACTCTTGTAAATATATACTATAGTTGGAATTATTTAGCATGAATTGCTCGAGGGATCGCTTGTTTAATTTCTGGTTTGCACAATTTGGGAAAAGATTGAATTGTGGAACGGCCCTTTCGACTTCACCTGTGTTATTTAGTTATAGGGTAGTTTGTCTCTTGTTATTTTGCCAGTTGAATTGTATTTTCATACAGCAAGGCCTTATACATTGTCTATAATTTAGCAATAGTGAGTTACTTTTTTACCCTTATTTCATCAAGAGCGTGCGAAATATAAAAATAAAGGAGGAAGGTTGTGATAGGTTACAAAAAATAATGTCATTCTTATCAATAACAAAGGGGTGGACGCTTTATATTCGGTTTGGGATACTCAATATTTTGGGTTGGTAATTCGATAATTGATAGTTAAAAGTCAATATCAACTTTTTGTAAGCTAATTTGTATAGTCTCTAGATTTGCGAGAATATACATCAATGACATGCCTAACCATTCCCCTTTTTGTGAGGATTGCCTGACAATTGTTGATGTATATTTGGGGTTAAGGCAAAGTTCCCTTTTTGTGCTTCTACATGATTTATATATACATCATCATGATTGCATATATATATATATAAAAAAGAAGCAATAAACTTGAGATTATGTATAGTCAAGTTTCTTTACAATTTAATTTTATTTGGAAAGTTACCCTGCATCAAAGTGAGTCTATTGTAATGTTAAGTGATTCGTTTTTCTTTATGGAATTAATCACTTTGTTACGCAATAATTAGATAACATAAACATGTTTAAAAAGAAAGCACTAAAATTAACCATACCGTGTTGTTAAAAAATAGGGACGAAGGAACTAGCAAAAGTCTAATTATGTCCAAATACTTGTTCCCACCCTAGCTAACTCATCATTTTTTTTTGGGAAGCATTAAATCTAACAAAACTCATCAAATGAGTTGTAACTTTGCATTTTTTTTTCCAAATAAAAGCCATGGACGATAATGATCAGATTTCCACCATAAAAAATTAATGAACAAGTTAACAGACATTATATCAAATAAATAAACAACAATAATGCATCATGAGCTTGGAATTCTAAACTTGTTGAATTCAATTCATTACAAAAAAGAAAACATGAAGCTAAGAGTCTATTCAAAATGATTTAGCTCTCATGGTGTTGGCAAGTCATAGCGGCAAATAGGGCAATAATGGCTCCTGTCCAACCAGGTTATAATACAATCTCCATGAAACATATGGGAGCAAGGCATACAAACGATCTTTCCACCCTCCTTCTTGGGCACAAGTTGTTCAAGACAGATGACACAATCAATAACCTTCAAACCTTGATCATCATCAATCTCCATTCTCTCAGGCAACGCCATTATTGATGTCTTACTAGCAGGTACCATACCCCCACTCAATCGCCACGGTACTCTCCCATCCAAAACATATTCCAATTTCAAAGTCATATCAACAAAAATCTGACAATTAGTACCACGACCCTTTTTCAATCCATCTCCAATAATTTTATCCATATAAAATATCATTCGTTTGATGAGATAGTCATCACAAACCTCATAATAGTCACCCCAATCGGTGAGATGTTCTTTAAGAATACTGAAAAACACGTCGTGTGACGTGTATTGAGAAGGGCATAGTTTGAGTTCAAATGATCTTGTCTCAAATTCATGAAATTCATCCAAATATATGAGTTTTGAAGGTTGATTTACAGGTGATTTACGCCAAGCGTCTTGTTGAGCAAAAAGGTTATACTGAAGGACTATATTAGGTAAATCACTCCTAATATTACCACCATTACTATTATTTTCGTTATACCATCTTAATTCTGGTCGAAAAAAGAAGGCTGTTTTAGTGGCAAAGTGGTGACGCGTCTCTGCGAAATTAACCATTGAAATTGAAATTGTTTGAATTTCTTAACCCCTCTTATATAGAGGTAGAGGTGAGAAGAAAAGAAAATCCAACTCAAATTAGGTTTTGCAGACCTACTCAAATTAGGATATGTAATATAACCATAAAAAGAATATTAGGGTTTCCATAAACGGATGAATAATTACCAAAAATATTACTCCGTGAAAAATAAAAAAAATAGGAAACAATAAAACTTTTAAGCATATAATAAATGAAAAGTTTATTATTTTGTTCCTTATTAGATTTTATTATTATTTTTACCTTTAATATTTCTCTTCTTGTTTCTTCTTTAGCTCGAGACGATGTTGAACCCTATTGACCATTATACTCGAATCCTCATACGATTCTTGAACTATCTCCACTTGAAAATTAAGACATGTTGAAGGACCACACATTGAGAGTGCAGCTTGGTCATAAGCTAAAGCAGCTTCTTCAGCAAGTATTAAACGTTCCAAGCCAAACCCTAATTCCATTTCTCGTTGAATCCCTACTTTCAGCTGCATATTTTCCCATGGACGTTATCAAACTCCAATGTATTGTTTTCCCTTTTGTGTATTTTTTAGATGTTTAATATTATTATTATTATTATTCTTGAAAGTAGTAATCTCTTCTTCATCTTTGATTTTGATTTCTTCATAGGAACTTGTTAGTGAAAAACTTACAAGATAACAAAAATACAAGATTACAACTGAAAATGAAATGAAGAAATAAAAATAGTCACACTTTCTCTTAATTGAATCACTTTGTTCGTATAATGATAACTCTAGTATTGCTTAATTGAACCGACATTAGCTTTTCAATGGATTGGTCATATACTTGTGTTTGTGTCTAACGGGATACGTACGTCGTCAAAAAAAATATTACTTTTAAACCGAATAAACCAGAAAAACTAAACCAAACCGAACCAAAACCGACAATAACCAAACCGATGGTTACTTATTTCGTTTGGTTTTAGAAATTTAAAAAACTGACTAAATTGGTTTGATTTTGATTTTAATCAATAACCGATCCAAGCCGAACCACAAACACCCCTAACTATAGAAATGCTTAAATTAATTATAAAATGCATAGGTCTCGATCATTATTACAAAATAAAGAAAGTGAGTATCTAAACAATGCTTAAATTTGACTATAAGAACCGGATGATATATTGATTCCTGAACATCTCAAAAAACGTACCTTGCCCACTTTGTTAGCTTTCCAAATCAAATCTGGCATATCTACAAATCAAAATAATTTGAAAGCAAAAATATTTCAATAAAGATCTTATAAGAAACAAAAAAAGAATGAATGTTTAGAATAATATCATACAATGATTACAAAATATGTTCAAAGTTCTATCATTGAAAGGAAAGAAACGGAGAATTCACCTCATCATTGCTTTCACTGAGAAGAGAATAATGATTAACAAAATACGTAAAGAATGGTATTTAGATAAATAAAAGGATAATAAAGGAAAATGGAAATTGTAAAGCAAAGAAAAATAAATTTGGTAAGAAAATCTTTGCCCAAAAATAAAGAGGATAAAACAATTGTGTCATAGCATAATAATTAATATAAATTAGTATAAATTGCTTTCTTTTTTTCTACTTGTACTTTAAAACGTTATTTAATTTAATACACCATTTAGGTTAATTAAATGTAAATCATGAGAGGAAAAAAAAAAAAGAATAAATGAAAAAAAATAGAATATGAAAAGGCACAAGAATTAATTAGTAGTGTAATTTTCAGAGATTAATTCACATTACACAAAAAAATAAAGAAAGAAGTGACACAAAAATTAATTAGCAGTATAATTATTCAAAAATCAATACACACTTAAAATCATTTTAATTATAAATTATGAAGATAAAGAAAAGGTTAATAAGAGAAATTGAGAGTTTGGATGAAAATCAGGACATGAAATTTTCTTCAACAATGCAGAGTAGAGATGGAAAAAAAACAATGATCAGTACCAAGAAAATTCCTTCATGTTGTTGTTCAGCCTCTTCTTTGTAGCAAGAAAATTGAAACCTAAATGTCATGAAAATTGAAAAAAAAAAAATATATGGCGTTTGGTGTAAACAAGTGCGGTATAGGTAAGGTAAAGTCTACTCAGTCCTTATTCGTGGGAGGATTTTTTCAAAGTAAATATGCTTGACTAATAGGTCAACATTTTGTTCTTTTTGTAGTTTACTCTATTCAGACAAGTGCATAATGAAATAAAAAAAATTGTAGTTTTGGAGACTTTGCAATGCAAATAACTTAGAAATATTTGAACGGACAACGTATACATATACAATTGTTGTTCTACTAGAATTCAAAAGCATCCACAAAACAGTAAAAGTTGTCAGGTTTTCAACCAAATTACCCCAGAGACATAGAAGCAAAACATAAATCCGGAGGAAATAAGACAAACTAAATATCTAAACTATCTTAGATTTTGTTCGGATAGATATTTGAGAGTTGAATATTGCCCCCCCATAAAAGTCTTGAGCGAGTAAAAACTTGGAATATGTACTCTAGTTGTATCAAGATTTCTCCATCTTTCCAAGTTAGGATTGGTATATATCTACAAAAATGGATAAAATCCCTATATTGATCAATACAAATGCGATCCTTAGTCCAAGATTCAGCTACTCCATAGACAAACATAGACAATTCCCCAATTCTACTAGTGTCATACACGAGGGTTGAGATATCCCCAACTCTTCTTGCGTCAAATACGCGAATTTCTCCATTTCTCATAAACTCCAAAAGTATAAACCTCCAATTCTGATATTTCAGAACGAACCCCAAACTTTCTAGTCACTGATTTGACTAATTTATACTGTCCAGAGACATCACTAAAGCAAAATCCATAAACAACACGACAAACACTTTTCTCTAGTTTGGGCCATTTAAAGTTGAAATACTCGCCCAAAAGAAGATTACTAATGTAAACTGAAGTATTTATATCATACATATTAGTCATCACCAATGAATCCAATACATGAACCAATTATTCTCAATAGATAGGTCTTTTAGAGCGGCGATAAGAAAAATCATAACAATTTTCAAGTTCAAGAAGCTGATTCATCAATTATTAATTGTTATTCAAAAGTAAGACTTTTTGAAAGTTTGACCAAACACAATTATAACGAGTTAGAGGTTAAGCGAGATCATAAATTTTGAAATTAGGCATAATACATAAATAGATATTCTAACTTGACCTTAATTGACAAGTAAGTTTCTTAACTTTGAGAATGCACATCTAAACACATTGACTTTGGTCTCAACTAACAACTAAACACTCCAACTTGTCCCCATTGTATCTCATGGACACATGACGTGTGCCACACAAATTTCAGAGGTGTCTAGATGATTGTTTGTAAGTCGGTTTCCGATAGACCCTTTGCAGGTATAGAGAGTCAGTTTCTGATATACCCTTGGTTCAACAAAAGCAAGTTGTGCAAAATAAGGCTATATCCATTTAACAGGAGGTTGATCAATTTAACTCAACTTTACAAACAAACAAAAAACCCTGTTTACTACTTCTATACAAAATGGTTAAGGAAAAACAAGGAATTCTTTCTGTCTTTCTCATTTCTAATCCTATTCCTTTACAAAATTTCATGGGCAACAGAATTTGCGCCATGTTACTACTCATAATTTTCTCAATCGGGAAGTAAGATCAATGAACACGTCTTCCTTGCAAGGTTTTGTGAGACCACCCATTGGATGATCAAAGCCAAACTCTTCTTCAGCTTGAGCTAAAAAGTCTTGAAATAAAGGCTGGCTCAGGTATGATATTGGCACGACAAACCTCTTCTTCTGGCTCTCTCCTACATATACTGCACAATGCCCTTTTGGAACACCTGTTGAAGATCTCCTTAGGATTCGATTAGCTTGAATAAATGGAGTCACTTTGATACCCATTATCTCAAGAGATATGTATTTCTAAATGATGAAGTATAAACAACAAGAACTTTGAGTATTACACAAAAAATGAAAAGTCTTTTGAATGCCAGGATACTTGTGTTTTGCTGAAATGTTTGGGTATTATATATATATAAGTCTATGACAAGTTTCATATCTTAATGTTTGGTGGTTAAGAGCAATTGGTGGCCACTGGTGAAGCCTCAGAGACAATGGCACATGAACTTTCACATGGTTTTGCTTACTCTGTTACTGTCAAAGTATTCAACACCATAAATTTGTTGAAGAGCAACACTAGCTAGGCCCTACTACTTCTCATGATTTGAAACAGAAGAAGAAACTCTTAAATTTACATCCACAAGAAAGGATGAAGTTTCGGAATTGGTTCAGGACCACCTTATTTAGAGGTTAGGTGACAGAGAATGACCGGATAAGGATAGCAACAGAAATACCACGAGAGAAACAAAGATAACATGATGCGAAATATCACATGGCATTGCCTTCTAAATCTTTGACAAGCACTTATGATCCATGGCATTTTGACTAGGCATAGAATTTTAAGAAACAAATTTGAAACTTATGATCCAAAACAAGCCATAAATATTTATGTGACAGTGCCAAGAGTTCATCGGGCTAAAAAGGACTCACTAAATCATTAACTAATCACTAACTAATACTAAAAGAACCGTCTTTTCTGTATATTTTCCCACTTCTCGTCCCAAAAGGAGAAGTTTAAAGTAAAATTATTTCTAACTATAACAATCCGTCCTTTTCCATAAACATACCAAAAGGGAACCACACAAACTAGGACAGAGGAAGTGTAAATAAAAAAAATCCCTAAAATTTCAACAAAATACAGATAAAAAGATCACTAAAAAATTTCAACAGATACTCTCTCGGTTTCAATTTATTTATCTTACTTATCTTTTTAGTACGTTTAAAACAATACACCTTTCCTTTCTCGACAACTCTTTAAATCTAGATTTGGAAGTTGTGGGATGAGTAGGCAAGAGGCGCGGGATGCTGCTCGTCTCCACATTGGCGATACAGGATTGATTGACTATGTGCTGAAATCAACGAACAATGTGATTATTGGAGGCTATGTAGTTCGACGTGCAGTGAACCGAGCCACGAGGGTGTTGGAGTACACGATTCAGGAACTTCGGAATTGTGATCAGCCTGAACAAGAAAAGCTCCCCGAGCCATTTCAGGACTATGCTGTTAATCCTGGAGCTGATGCGTACACTGATGTTTTATGCTTGTATAATAATCTTCTTCTGAGCTTCGCGGAATCTGATGAGTTAAGCCTGGCTGTTAGGATAGTATCAGACAGCAAGCAATTTTTGAAGGAATGGCCATTTCGTGATGATCCAGATGACAGCTTGTTGAGGTTCATTTGTTGCATTTTGCCAAATTCTAATGGTTTGGAAGCTGTATTTTCAAAGGGATATCCCCCAGGAGAGGTGGTTGAAGTTCCGCTACACTCAACAATTGGTGATCTAAAGAATACAGAGAAACTGCACAAATATATGACTACTAGAACATGATTGATTATCCTTTTGATGTCTATACAAATATTGACATCAGTGATCTGCCCCTAAAAGTTCAGTATATCATCAGGTCCATGCCAAAGTGAGAAGCACAAGACACTAGTGTGCTGCAGAGTTAATCACTGAAATTTTGACCCTGGCTACTTTTGGTGGAGCTTTCAGAGTTTCCAGCGTTTATATCAGCAACTACGCTCTATTTCGGAATTGTCATGTAACTGCTTGATTGGAGTACTAACTGCAGTACTTAGAAGATCTTCTAAGTGGGAAACTCCTAACCCCAAAGTTGGATTACCATTTTGCCCTTTACTTAAATATTTTTTCTATGTTTTAAAATATAAAAAATGTAAAAGTATATTCTAATAAATAATTAGATAATAAACTTTAAAGTAATAAAGATATAATGGAAGATAAAAAGTCATTCAAATAAATGAAGTCCAAACATTTCAAAACATCTCTTATTTAATTTTAAGTTAAAGAATTTGAAGAGTTTCCATTGATAAAATTATATACATGATTTTTCCCACAAAATACATTTTTTTGCTGTCTTCTCATTTTGGGTGACAATAGCATGTGAGTTGATTTATCTCACAAAATTATACTTCTAATTTTTCATGCTTCTCTTGATCAATAAATTTTAGTTATATATGTATATAGATAGAACTCATATTACAGGTTTTGTTTCATTCTTTAATCGAAATTTTATGTTTTTAACGCATGAGAAATAATTCTAGAGAGTTTTTCGTTTGGACAAAAAATCTGCTCAACATTCATGAGGTAAAACAAACCTATTTGTGTGAGAAAGAATATGTATGTTGTTTCGTTAATTTATTGACAGTAGTTTCTTGAAGAATATAGATATCTGGACTAGAATATTAGTCATTTCAGTGTATTCGATGAATTCTTCAAGAAGGTTAAAGGCGGCATAGACATTTATTTGTTGTTTGGTAAGTATTATTTTTCATTTCAATGTTGCATATTTTTACTTAGTTCATTGTTTGTTACATAAAAAAATTTTGGTTGAAAGAAGGTAAATTGACTAATTTTTCTTGAATAATGGCAATCAAAAAGAAAACAAATTTTTCATTTACATGTGTGATGTACAAATCTTCTTTTAAAGATTATGTTTGTTATAACAAGTTGATTATCCTGTAGTAATTGAATTAATGTCGGTGTTTATGATATATGTCAATGTATGCATAATACTACTGCATTATGTAATTCTTCTACACTCTAGGTTATGGGATAAGATAATTGAATAACTCATGTAATTAGTTTTTTTCTCATAATTAAATCTACAAAAATTAGCTTGCATTATACTTAATATGTTTTTTTTTAGAATTTATAAATGGTTTACTATTTGTATGACAGTAAAATCATGGTGTGATTTGTAAATAAATACCCCTAATAACGGAAAGAAGAGGAAGCGTTGAAGAGAAAAATGTATTGCTAAATATTATTGTATTCTGCAACTTTATGTTTTTTATTGGTTAAATTTAGAACTTATTATTTCATTTATTCTATCTAGAAAAAATGTATTTGGATGAAAAATCTAATTGATTCAAAGACTTGTCAATTAATGAACTTAAGAAAACTTAAAATGCATCATTTTAAGGAGTATATACTCTTTTTAATTTTAAAACATAAAACAATATTACTAATAATCTTTATATTTTTTTTTTAAAAAATGTGTGTTGATTGATATAGGTACGCTAGCGGAGGGTGAACCCAGAAATTATTATTATTATTATTATTATTATTATTATTATTATTATTATTATTATTATTATTATTATTATTTTATTATTATTATTATTATTATTATTATTATTATTATTATTATTATTATTATTATTTATTATTATTATTATTATTATTATTATTATTATTATTATTATTTATTATTATTATTATTATTATTATTATTATTATTATTATTATTATTATTATTATTATTATTATTATTATTATTATTATTATTATTATTATTATTATTATTATTATTATTATTATTATTATTATTATTATTATTATATTATTATTATTATTATTATTATATTATTATTATTATTATTATTATTATTATTATTATTATTATATTATTATTATTATTATTATATTATTATTATTATTATTATTATTATTATATTATTATTATTATTATTATTATTATTATTATTATTATTATTATATTATTATTATTATTATTATTATTATTATTATTATTATTATTATTATTATTATTATTATTATTATTATTATTATTATTATTATTATTATTATTATTATTATTATTATTATTATTATTATTATATTATTATTATTATTATTATTATTATTATTATTATTATTATTATTATTATTATTATTATTATTATTATTATTATTATTATTATTATTATTATTATTATTATTATTATTATTATTATATTATTATTATTATTATTATTATTATTATTATTATTATTATTATTATTATTATTATTATTATTATTATTATTATTATTATTATTATTATTATTATTATTATATTATTATTATTATTATTATTATTATTATTATTATTATTATTATTATTATTATTATTATTATTATTATTATTATTATTATTATTATTATTATTATTTTATTATTATTATTATTATTATTATTATTATTATTATTATTATTATTATTATTATTATTATTATTATTATTATTATTATTATTATTATTATTATTTATTATTATTATTATTATTATTATTATTATTATTATTATTATTATTATTATTATTATTATTATTATTATTAGGATCACTGACTTGGCGGTAGTCCGCCAGGTCATAGATCAAGCAAGTCAATATCCTTAGAGGTAGTCTAACTACATAAGAATCGAAATACACAAGAATTTTAACATAGTTTCTCAGACTGCATGGATTTATTATTTTACCCAAGCAAAGGGCCTGTCAAGAACCTAATACATACTTTTATTAAGCCTGTTGTCTGATAGTTCTAACCGGGTATGAGGCGCCCTACTTATCAAACTCAATTTCGGGCTAAAAACCACGGCTCATCAGACGGAGTCATAAAGACAAAGCCAATAAAAGTAGTACTAGATCTGACTGTGCCTCAATCTCGAAACCAAGTCGAGAAGCTATACTAAAATTCTTCTATATTTAAATAAAGCTTAGATCCGTTCATGGTCTATATAAAAGAGAAGTTAGTTATCCGGCATAGATATAATTTTTTAGCCGGACATAGTCACGGCTTAACTCAGAGATAAAATTGAAAATAAAAGGAAGTACCTTGTAACAAACAGCACACTTTACTATTCCTCCGGCCAAAGTCCTGTAAGCTTACAATACTTGAAAATATTTTACAAGTGGGGAGAGAGAAAGAAAGAAGGAGAGATGGTTTCTAAAACCTGCCCTCAATTAAAGAAAAACAAACTTATTTATAGAAAAAAGAAAGC